GTAGTAGTAGTAGTTGCTGTTGTTGTAGTAGTACTACTAGTAGTAGTAGTAGTAGTAGTAGCAGCAGCAGCAGCAGAAGAAGAAGAAGAAGAAGAAGCAGACGAAGAAAAAGGAGAAGAAGAAGAAAGAAAAAGAAGAAGAAGAAGAAGGAAGAAAGAAGGTGGAGGATGGGTATAAGAAGAAGAACAAAGATGAAAGAGGACGAGGACGAGGAGAAAGAAGGAGGAAAAAAAGAGTAAAAGGAAGAAAAGCAAGTCTAGACAGGCTTTTCAAAGGGAATATCAGCGACAGCCTTGCCCCAAACAACTGTCGGAGGACTTAACTCGATAAGGACGATAAAAGATTAGCAGTTTTTCATCAGCTTACACGCAAAAAAAAAAAAAAAAAAAAAAGGAACGCGTTCTTTCGCTCTCCCTCTGTGCTGATCTCAAGTTGTTTGAGTCTGTCTGTCTGTCTTTTGTGTTTGGTTGTATTGCTATTTACTTTCGTCTCAATTTTATTTTGCTTTTTGTCAGCCTAAGAATTTCTGTCTGTTTATTTCTCTGTTTTCGTCTCTCTCTCTCTCTCTCTCTCTCTCTCTCTCTCTCTCTCTCTCTCTCTCTCTCTCTCTCTCTCTCTCTCTCTCTCTCTCTCTCTCTCTCTCTCTTTCTCCCTCTCTCTCCCCTTCCCCTATCTCTCAATAGTTTTTTCTTTTCTTCTCTCCCTTCCTACCTCTTTCCCTTCTCTCTCTTTTATATGTATATCATATTACCTTTATGAGCAATACAGTATATCTATTTCCATAGGTTGATTATGCGGACACGGAACGCATGTATATTTTCATGTTATGAATTAATCTATAATTTTCATTGATAATGTTATGTGTCTCAATTTAGAACCCCGAAAGCATGCTGAATTATTATGAACTTCAGTAGAGCTATCAACACATCAAAATTTCAGACATTATGATTCCCAATCTATAATGCAGTCAGCGATATCAGTGATGGTCATTGTGAAAAAGTTAAATTAACAGTTATTTAGTCAGTTATAAACACAACCAACTGTTTGACGTTGTAAACTAACATATAGATTACTTAAGTCTTCTTTGCTCCCGACAGTCACTCGTAAATCTATTGAGTTAGTTAAACATGGAGTGCAAGTGCCGTAGATATATCCAAAAGCAATGGCTCATCCGCCTTAAAGTTTACCTGTGTTTTCTCATACCGATTTTTTAATCTATCAAATGAATATAGATAGCCTTATCTATTGTGATCTCATCTTATCCTTCGTAACAGGACAAGTGCCGTGGAACTGATAACTTAGAGTAGAATCATTACCACGAAGAACAGCGAGAAACGAGAGAACATTTATAGAACAGAAAGGACAAAGCAAAAGTGCCGAGGGAATAGCTGTCTTATTACTATGAATGCAGATGACAAACAAAACATTCACAAGCTGTTGTAACTTTTCCTCAGTAACAATGGCGACTTTATTATTCTTTGACTGCTCTCACCTCTCATGCGCGCGTGGCCATCCATAAGAACACAGAGAGAAAAAAAGTTAGGTGGAGAAAACAGTAAAAAATGTACGCTAAAGAGAGAGAAAGAGAGAAGGAGAATGAAAGAGAGAAGGTGGGAGATAGGGAAGATAGATCGATGAATTCATAGATAGATAATCAGATAAAATGTAGATAGGCTGATAGGTAAATAGACATAGAAATATATTAATGAATTGACAGAACGGTAGGAAAAAAATACAACCACCTGTTTATTTTGGGTAGAAATATAGATAGACAAACATAAATAGACAGAGGAAGATAGGAAGAGCATGCATGCAATGAACTTCCTGATGCAAAAGCTCTTTTTCATTTATACAGAAAGAATGAGAGGATGCAGAATAAAGGTGAAACTGAATAAAGAAAAGACGCGGAGATGGACTCTGTACTAATATCCGCAGAGGAAATGAATTGCCAGGAGAATTTGACACAAGTGTAAATCATTTGATGAATAGTTTATCGGAGAAACAACAAAGAGACTTGCAAGTGACTTTCAAACACGACTGAAGTTCCACGGAGTATAAGTGATAATATGATAATTTCACGGGGAGATCACACTTAGAATGTAAGTATGGGTTTGTTGCTGCCAAATGTTTCTTCGTTAAACTGTAAAATACTAAATCTTTCATTGCAGTATTGAAATTGTCATCGCTGCATGTACAATCCAAGTAATGATAGAGTGTGTGAATAGATATTACCAAATGTTTGTAAATAAGATGCCGGGGATATATGAAGAAAAATATGTATCAGTTATGGTGTAATGATAAGATGTGAGTTTGTACATGGAATACAAAAACGAAAATAAAACATAAATCATTATAAGTCAAGGTATCAGGATTCGACAGATAAGAAAATATTAAGGTGCTGTGTATGGTTTAAAGAATGTTTCACTGGAGAGATAACCGAATGGTACAACATTTTTGACAAAGGAGAAAGAGATAGAGAGAACAAAAATAAAGAAACGGAATAAGAAAAAAGGAGGAGAGAGGGAGAGAAAGAAAGAAAAAAGAAAATGAATTGGGATAAGACAAAAAAGAAAAAAAAATGGAAAAGAGAGGAGAGAGGGAGAAAAAAGAAAAAAGAAAATGAATTGGGATAAGACAAAAAAGAAAAAGAAAAAAAACGAACACCGAATGATAAACAGGCAATAAATCGGACGATGTGGAATGAGAAATCGCAAGGAAATGCTCGGACTTCCACTTCGTTTCCCGGCCGTAAGAAGTCGGTTCAGAGAGTAACCCGCGTGGGAAGAGCGTCGTCATTGCTATTGTTATCGCCTTTATCATGATGTCTTTTTAGTCATCGTTATCCTTTTTTTTACTTAGTTAAATCGATTTTTGTTCAGGCTATCTCACATGATGTTATTGTTCTGGTTTGTAATTGTACCATTACTATCGTTAACAAAATTCATTATCATATTCATTATACGAGACGTATGTATCCATATCTGTCAGTCTTTTTCTACATGTATATATTATATATATATATATATATATATATATATATATATATATATATATAATATATATAATATTATATATATATATATATATAGTATATATATATATATATATATATATATATATATATATATATATATATATATATATATATATATATATATATATATATATATATATATATATATATATATATATATATATATATATATATATATATATATATATATATATATATATATATATAAACACACACACACTTACACACAGAAATATACATACATACACTAACATATATAGATACATATGTGTGTGTTGTGTGTGTGTGTGTGTGCTAGCATTTATGCTAGTAAATGTAAACGTTCTACCCCCTTTATGCACACATCCTGTACCTCAGTCAAACTGTGATTATCGTAAAAAAAACTAACTCAGGATATGTATACATTCCAACTATTTTGTTCACTTAGATTTTATCTGATGTTCACCCATGTTATCATATTCAATGCATCAGATATCTATAGATCTCTGATTAGAATGAAATTCCTATTCGTATGAATTTCAGTTTTTCAGTATTTCCTGTTAGTGATTTATATCGGTGAAGTTGATATTACAATTGATGATGTTTGGCAGCGAGTTACATAAGCACGTGCGTTCCCTACGTAAACGGAAATGTGAACGCATACACAAATAAGAGAGCAATAATCTTCAACAATACGTTATATCAAGAGATAACATAGTGATTCTGCACAGAGAACAGGAAACCAGCTACTAGAGTGTTTTGGAAGAATGAATGTTATTCTGTGATTCTCTGTGTCTTTACAGATTCGTGAATGATCCTGTTCATTACCACATTTGCTGCTACGGTAATTAACATCCAATTAATTATTTCTAATATTGTCATTTTTATCACCATTATCCCCATCCCTACCATTATTATAATCATCTTCACCATCATATTCATCAGAATCATCAGAATCATTATCGTCATCATCATCATCATCATCATCATCACCATCATCCACATGATAATCATCATCATCATCATCGTCATCACCATCAATGATATCATTACTAATATTATCACCATGACGATTACTTGAATCATTACCTAACGCTTTTTCAATTCATGAAAATACTGTCTCTTGTGATGCTGGCGTCCATATCGAGCGCAGCACTTGAAAACTTTGTTCAAATTCCCAGTGTCCCGCGTCCATTAAGCAAGAGTGACCTCATGTTGCGAAGAGTTCCTCGACAGGAATGTGAATATATATATATATATATATATATATATATATATATATATATATATATATATATATATATATATATATATATATATATATATATATATATATATATATATATATATATTATATATATATATATATATATATATATATATATATATATATATATATATATATATATATATATATATATATATATATATATATATATATATATATATATATATATATATATATACACACTCTTTTTTGTACTGTCAATACTGGCATCAGATTTTTTGTCATCAATATTTGGATTCCCCATTTCAAGATAACCAACAGCAAACAACCCCAAGGCAACTGATCTGGTGTAGATCGACGGTCGACATAAGGGACATGACACGACGAGAAGACTATAATTATCAATATCAATTAAGATAAACATCTCTAATCCCTCCATTCTCCATTCCTGCTGCTTCTCAGCCTGCACTCCCTCAGTCGTCTCTTCCCTCTCTCGCCAAACCCTCCATTCCCTTCCTCCTTTATCATGCAGTCTTCCAACCTTCTATTTTCCCTCCTCTCCCCATCCTCGCTCCCTCCTCCCTCCTTCCTCCATCCTCCCTCCATCCCCGCTCCCTCATCCGCTCCTTCCTCCCTCTTCTCTTCATCCTCCTCCCTCTTCTCTTCATCCCCGCTCCTCCTCCCCTTCTCTTCTCCCTCCATCCCCGCTCCCTCCTTCCTCCCTCCATCTCCACCTTCCCCCCCCCTCCCCCTACTTACCTTAGGTGGACGGTCGCAATTGATAGCCTCCTTCACGAGGATTCTGACGGTGAGAACAGACGACCCGGATTCTCGGGGTCTGGAGCGCCCGTTCTTGCGTCGACTGCAGCCCAGGGTCGGCTTCTGCTCCAGTTGGGTCCCATTGAGTCCGATGATGGCCTCCACGCAGTTGTAGCCTGCCGGGCGAGAGGGGGAAGTCTCTTAGAAAAGGGTGTGAGATATTGAGAGAGAGAGAAAAAAAAAAGCGTAAAGGACTCAGAGAGAGGAGAGAAGTCTATTTAAAAAGGGTGTGAGATATTGAGAGAGGGAGGAGATGGAGAACTCTGGTACAAAAGGTGTAAGGGACAGAGAGAGGAGGGAAGTCTCAAAAAAGGGGTGTGAAATACTGAGAGAGAGAGGAGAGAGGGAGAACTCTGATAAAAAAGGTGTAAGGGTCTGAGAGACAGTAGGGAAGGGCGAGAAGGGAGGTCTCTTAGGAAAGGGTGTGAGATACTGAGAGACAGGAGAGGGGAAAATCTCTTTAAGAAAAAGGTGTGAGGCACCGAGAGAGAAGGGGAAGGGAGAGATAGAAGCAACATCATTTAGAAAAGACGTTATAAAAGAGTGGGAATGAGAAGGAAAACTCTTTAAGAAAAGGTGTGAGGTATTGAGAAGGAGAGGAGATGGGAGACAAAGGAGCCGTCTTTTAGAAAAGGGTGTGAGAGAGGAGGGATAACTCTTTTAGAAAATCTTGTGTGGGATAGAGAGAGGATGGGAGAAGGGGAAAGGCGGAAAGGGAAGGAGGGAGTGAGGAAGGCAAATAGAGAGAGAAAGAGAGGAGAGAGACAGAAAGAGAGATGTAGAGAGAAAGGGGGGAGCGAGAAAGAAAGAGAGAGATCCAGAAAAAGAAAAAAAGAGAAACACAGAGAGAGAGAGAGAAAAGAGTAAAACAGAGAGAGAAAAGAAAGAGACAGAGAGAGAGAGAGACGCTGATAATTTGGGTACGCAGAATACAACCTTATGTGCTGAACCAACGCAAGAAAAGTACTAACTCGGACTTTTTATTTCTCCAAGGACACGTGATCCGTTTTCTCCTTTGTTTCCTCTCTATGAATAATAAAAATAATTCTACTCCAGAAATCATCCATTTTCATTAATGTGTTTCCTACATTTATTAAAATAAACATTCATACAGCGATAAGGAAAAAGATCTCAACTGACGCGACGGAAAAGAGGTCTGAATTAAACAGACAATAAAATAAAGAAAAAATAATATAAAAAATGCATACGTGAAATAAAAAGAAAAAAGAAAAAACAAGATTTGCAACTTGTACGAATGACAAATTAATATAGCTTCTTAATAATATAAAAAAAAAAAAAAAAAAAAAAAAAAAAAAAAAAAAAAAAAATAATATCTATATAGTATATATATATATATATATACTATATATATATATACACTATATATATATATATGTGTGTGTGTGTGTGTGTGTGTGTGTGTGTGTGTGTGTGTGTGTGTGTGTGTGTGTGTGTGTGTGTGTGTGTGTGTGTGTGTGTGTGTGTGTGTGTGTGTGCATGAGTTACCAGAGTTCATTTTGTAGGCAAAGCAGCCAAGAATCCCATAAGAGATTATCCTCATAAAGTAATCTTTGCTATGTAAGCGAGTGTACAGACCAGCGCGCGAGTGATACCCAAGCCCAGCATCTACATAACTTCCCTCCTCTCTCTCTCTTTTATCTCCACTCACTCACACAGATGCGCAAGTGCAGAGGAAGCATATACATATTCATGTGCGTAAAGATGAAAAGGGGGAAAAAAGGAAGACAAAAAAGGCATCCATAGGCAGTTGAGTAAGGGAACCTCGCATAGTCACACAGCTCTAAATGGCGAGATAAAGTATGATATCCAGGATCACCAATAAATAGATAAATAAATAAATAAAAGACAGAAATAGCTTGGGACGCTGGAGTAAAGTGAGCAACACTTTAACGATAAAATAAAGCGATGTGGAGGCCTGAGAACGCCGCTTAAAAAACGAGAAGAGAAACAAGAAATCCAACGTTAATATGGCCTTGCCTTACCTCGCCGACACGTGTCCTATGCCACACACCTTCGCTATACATTAAACCCTATAGAACGCGGCGCCGGAACGAAAAGCAAGTCCCGTGAACGATAGCAAGTGGAGCGAGCCCACATCTTTGTGTATATTACTTTTAAGGGTGGAAAACACGTATTGAAAATGGAGCATCGCTTTTTATCAAATTGCTTCGACCCCGCCGGAGAGACCCGCTGTGAGTGAACGTGTTGGCGCTGCGGGAAAGACGGCTTCGCGAGACATCCCGGTCGCCCTGCGCAGGAGGAGCGGGCTAAAGGATGACGGCGAGGGACTTGCAGCAGGCGAAAAATAACGCCCCGACGCTTTGAAGTCGCTGCAAATTACCTTGCAAACCATCTCACCTCCGACTTTATGTCATCAGACGCCCATTCTGCCCGCGGCGAACCATTACCATCAAGGAGCCAACCGCGGGCGCCCGAGAGCACAGTGGATTCGTTTTTGACATGTTTTCATTAACAGATGTGTGGCGGTTTGACCTGTGCGAAATTAAGTCATTAACTTGATGAATACATACATATATATTAGCACAAAAACACACGCACACACACACACACACACACACAACTCATTCACACACACATATGTATATACATATATATGCGTGTGTATGTGTGTGTGTTTTAGCATGTGCCTGTGCGTGCGCTTTCCTGTTGGAATGACGATATTCCAAGGAGAAATAACCTTAGTCCATCGCATGAAACTTATATCCCAAAACTTAAAATCATCCATAATATTTCAAGGGCTTGCGCAAACAAAAGCGCACACTGTATAACGTAATACTACCGGATGCGATTTGCTTTCACCAGAATAAGTAACCCTTGAGGCAGCGTACAGAAATACACTTGTAATTTATCACAGTGCAGTAATAAGCAAGAGCGCACCTTTAGCCGGGCAAGCAGACGGTTTTATAGGGATAAACACACACTTTGCTTATTTCTTTTCATTCTAGTTACTTTTATATATCTATTTATTGTTATTTTTTTATCTAATTTGATTTACGATTTCTGTTTAGTTTTTCTCTGATTTCTTCTCAGTTTTTAGTATTATTAATTTCCTTCTTTTAGTTCTTTTCTTACTAAAAGGTTTTGTATCTTTTAAAGTTTTATTGTTTTACTTTTATTTCAGATTTTAATATCCTTAACATCGAAGTCTAAACAAAATCAAATCAGATGTGTGTATATGTATGTATGCAGACCTATATGTATGTGCGTGCTTATGTATTTGTATGTATGTATGTAAAAATACATTAATGCTTATGCGAGTGTTTACATAAGCATGTGTGTGTTTGTGTATATGCATTTACGTATGTAAAAACCTTCGTCACTTCCCAGTACCTGAAAAAGACATGTTATTCCCGCCTCATACACACATTTTATATATATGTGTTGTTGTTTTTATTCACTACCTATACGTCCCATTACTCCTTCTCTCCTTAATCCCCTCCCCTTTCCCTATTCTTCTCTCCCTCTTTCCTTTCTCCCATTCTCCTCTTTCTATCCTGCTTCTCGTCGTCAGCATCACCTTCCTCCTCTCTTCCTCCTATCCTTCCCTGTCCTCCTTTACCTATCCTCTCCACCTTCAGTCCTACAACCTTTCTCCTGCCTCTTCTCTCCTCCTCTCGCCTGCCTCTCTCTCCCTCCTCTCACCTGCCTCTCTCTTCCTCCTCTCGCCTGCCTCTCCCTTCCACCTCTCACCTGCCTCTCTCTTCCTCCTCTCACCTGCCTCTCCCTCCCTCTCCCTTCCTCCTCTCCCCTGCCTCTCTCTTCCTCCTCTCACTTGCCTCTCCCTTTCCCCCTGCCTCACCTGCCTCTCCTCTCTTCCTCTCTTTTGCCTCTCTCTTCCTCCTCCTCTCACCTGCCTCTCCTTCCTCCTCTCACCTGCCTCTCTCTTCCTCCTCTCACTTGCCTCTCTCTTCCTCCTCTCACCTGCCTCTCCCTCTCTCTCCCTTCCTCCTCTCATCTGCCTCTCCCTCTTCTCTCACCTGTCTCTCACCTGTCTCTCCCCTCCTCTCCCTGCCTCTCCCTTCCCCCTCTCACCTGCCTCTCCCCTGCTGCCTGCCTCCCTTCCTCCTCTCCTGCCTCTCCTTCCTCCTCTTACCTGCCTCTCCCTTCCTCCTCTTAACTGCCTCTCCCTTCCTCCTCTCCCCTGCCTCTCCCTTCCTCTCCCTTCCTCCTCTCACCTGCCTCCTCTTCCTCCTCTCCCTCCTCTCTTCCCTGCCTCTCCCTTCCTTCTCTCACCTGCCTCTCCCTTCCCTCTTCTCCCCTCCTTCCTCTCCTTCCTCCTCTCCCTCCTCTCTCTTCCTCCTCTCCCTCTCCTTCCCTCTCCCCTCCTCCCTTTCCTCTCATCTGCCTTCCCTTTCCCCCTCTCACCTGCCCTCTCTCTTCCTCCTCCTTGCCTCTCCCTTCCTCCTCTCACCTCTCTCCTTCCTCCCTCTCCCCTGCTCTCCTTCCTCCTCTCACCTGCCTCTCCTTCCTCCTCTCCCCTGCCTCTCCCTTCTCCTCTCTCCCCTGCCTCCCCCTTCCTCCTCTCACCTGCTTCTCCCCTCTTCCCTTCCTCTCACCCTCTCTCCTTCCTCCTCTCACCTGCTCTCTTCTCCTTCCTCCTCTCCTTCCTCCTCTCTTCCTCCTCTCACCTGCCTCTCCTCTTCCTGCTCTCACCTGCCTCTCCTCTCTCCTCTCCCTGCCTCTCCCTCTCCCTCCTCTTACCTGCCTCTCCCTTCCTCCTCTCCCCTCCTCTCCCTCTCCTTCCTCCTCACCTTCTCTTCCTCTCTCCTCCTTTCCTCCTCTCCTGCCTCTCCCTTCCTCCTCTCCCCTGCCTCTCCCTTCCTCCTCTCACCTGCCTCTCCCTTCCTCCTCTTACCTGCCTCTCCCTTCCTCCTCTCCCCTGCCTCTCCCTTCCTTCCTCTCTCCCTGCCTCTCACTCTCTCCTCTCCCTTCCTCTCCCTTCCTCCTCTCACCTGCCTCTCCTTCCTCCTCTCCCTGCCTCTCCCTTCCTCCTCTTCCCTGCCTCTCCTTCCCCTCCTCCTCACCTGCCTCTCCCTCTCCTCCTCTCACCTGCCTCTCCCTCTCCTCTCTCCCT